TATAATTATATTATATTATTGTATTATTATATTATACTGTATTATATTATGAGTCTGAATTTTAAATTAAAAAAATTGTAAATTTTAAATTTCATTAGGGGTATTATGGATATTATGAAAGTTTTATTAATTGTACTATGTTGATTCCCGTATAATCTAAAAACTAAAGTTGTCTTTGAGTTGCTTCTGATTTTTGCTGTAGATTCTTCAAAAAGCCTTTTGAGGAGATTTACCAAATACTAAAATCAGCTTTTTATAACATCCAGTTTAAATTAATTATGATTAATTAATTAAATCCGGTGATTAGTGTTAATTAATATGATATTAGTGAAAGATTCTCAGTTATAATTATCATGTAAAAGGCATTTCTCCTTTAAAAAGGATTATTTTAAAATTGACATTGCTGTCCCTTGAACAGTTTTAAGTATTAAAAATTATTTTTTTAGAATTTAAATAATAGATCAATTCTTTCTTTTTCTCACATTCTCTCTCTTTCCCACGTACACTCTCTCTTTCCCACGTTCACTCTCTCTCTCTCCACGCCGGCCACCTACCACCGGTGAGATTCTGGTGTCGTTTCGCGACACCACCCACACCATCGGATAGCTCTCAACAAGCTGAACTCGTTGACATGCCGCATAACCTCCATTTCTGCCGGAAACAGCCGCAATCGCCCACGAAATGTCCAAAAACTACTGAAACTTCTCACCGTCGTAACTTTGTCGTCCGACCTCCGATCGGAGTGATTCCGGTCCCTATGGACTCAGCTCGACGAGACGAACAAAACTCATGCCGTAACACCCATCGATTCTCACCGAAATTTCATCGCAGGAGCTGCCCATTTCGACCTCCGCGCCTCCTCTCTGTTGTGCACTGTTCCAGCCTCCGTTTTTTACACCGCCGGTGTCATTGGACTCAGAGGATGACGTAGAGCAAGAAGCAACCCTCAGCCACCCAAATCCGCCACCGTTTGTTAGAGATCGGAGCTCGCCGCCGCCGCCGATTGGGTGGAGGCTGGTTCCGATGATCTAACCATTGGATCGTCATGATTTTAGTGTCAAAACACTCAGAAAGAAGTGGGTAACAAGAGCTCTCAGCCAATTTTGAGGTTCCATTGCCGGAGAATTGATAACCAACTGGCCGAATTTTGCCGACGTTTTTGGGTTCGATTGGAGTAGATAGAGGGCGAATTTGGTGAAATTGACTGCACCATTGAACTTAGAATAGTCGATTTAGGGGGATAGGACCCAAGTCCACTGCGGAAATGTGCTCCGGAAACCCCGCCGCCGCTGCCACCGCCGCCGGTGGTCGGATTCCGGCTTGTCTCAGTTCTTGAGGTTCCCGACGTTCGATCAAAGATCTGAGAACATATCCTGACTCATTTTGACATGGTGAACGTAACGGTGACCTCCATTTGCATCAATTCCATTCCGTTGAAAAGTATATCGGTATCGTGCATGCATATCGAGGCGAATCGAATGGAGTCATTGAGGTTCAAAGTGAGTCATGGAGCTTCAAGAATAGATAGTTGGACAATGTGAAGTTATCCGTGGATTAAATTGTCAAGAGGTAAGAGATAGAATATTCTTATCCATATCCTTATTAGCCTCATTTTAAATGATTTTGAACAATGAAAATGTGTTAGAACAAAACATATTTAAGAAAATGATTTTCAAGGAATAACATGACACTACAACAAATATCAAAATCAATAGCTGACTAAAAACGCTATTAATCACTAACAATAGCATTTTTCAGAGCGCTAGGATAGCGGACGCTATTAAAAATCATAAGAAAAAATAGTATTTTAGGAGAGTTATAGAAAGCGCTATAGAATTGAGGGATTATAGCGTTTAGGACAAATTATTTTCAACCTCTTACAACTATTTAACATACCTACGATACAAATTAATAATTTTTTTTCCTTGTTATATTCATACTCTTGTAGCTTTTTAAAATTGTTATTAATATCCTTTTAAATTCATTCAAATAAATAGTAATTCCGTGATATGTGATATATTTAAATAGGAACATTCATACTCTTGTAGCTTTTTAAAATTGTTATTAATATCCTTTTGAATTCATTCAAATAAATGGTAATTCCGCGATATGTGATATATCTAAATAGGAACATTCAAATTAAAACATAAAAACATTCAACATATCAATTGTTATCAGTATCTACCAAGTTAGCAATACAATTACGTCTACAACATAATTCATACAATGTCCAAAACCTTAACATTCAAAACAAGTAAAGAAAACAAAGCAATAGTTTGAGATATCAAAGTATCCAAAACGTCTAAGTGAAATGGTGAAGTAAATTCTTCCATCTTGACAAAATGCTTCAACAAAAAAGTCAGCTCCACTGTTTAACCTATAAGAAAGTGATCCACTATCAAAACAATAATCAAGCTCAACTAAAACTTCCACCATTTAACCTATAAATAAAGCAAATACTAGTTACACCATTCACAACTACGTAGCCACATTCACATATGTTTTGCAGTGAGTTAGAGGAAACATGACTTCAATGATGCACTAGATAAAAATTTAATGTCAAACTTGTAAGACAGAGAGTATCTTACATGTATTGGTATGTAGATAGTTGGAGAAAGTTGCATGAGTCTTTGTTGCGTACATACAAAAATCCGAAAAGAAAAAAAAACGTGCTATTACAATCTTGCAAATATGAAGAGAAAAAAAGATTCCGTTGATGCATACCCTCCAATTGGAGATGCAAGTTATAGATACAATCTTGCCCTGAAGTCTTGTCTTCCACTATTTAACCTGTAAATAAAGCATTAAGTATCTGTTAGGAGATGCAAGTTATAGATACATACCTGCTGCAGGAAGGCAGAATTATTGGAGCCTAAATAGCAAGAATCTATAGGAACCTGAAAAGGAGAAAATTTGTGACACTTTGAACATTCATTTTGAACTTAAAAACCATCAATCAAACAGTCATAAGACGGGAAAAAAAGGCTAAAATTGTGGAAACAGTTCAAAGAAGATAGAGACAACAAACAATATACTTAAAAGACATTCTACCAATTCCATTTTTGGAAAGTAGAACAAATTGACACATTTACATTACATTCTACCAATTCTATTTTTGGAAAGTTGAACAAATTGACACATTTACATTGGTTCCCTTGATATTTGTACTGATTCAGAAAATATTGTTCGGTAGTATAACCAAGAACTAAAAAGAATTGAATTCATACCATAGAACGCTGTGCAGAAAATATGGCATTCATGATTGCCACATACCTGAAAGGTGAATTAAAAAAATAAAAAAATAAAGCACAGACATAACTGTAAAGAAAATAAGAAACACGGAATATTCTCTTCAGCCAAAAAAGAAAACACGATTAAAAAAAAGAACATACTGTTCGGGCCCATCTGAAGATCCCTACAAGTATAAAATCTGCCATCCATATAATAGCAAAAATAGTTAAAATACATTAAATTTAAAGAAGTGAAAAGAAACTTTCAAGGCCAATGGAATGTAGTCTCTTACAAACAACATTACTAAAGTGTAAAATCACAGACAAACACTAACCAAAAGAAAACCTAAAGGAACGGTGATTATATCATTATCCTAGAAACTAATGTCCAGTTACGGCTGCTTACAGAGAGTTGCTTCTCCACTGAAGTAATCCCACAAGTATTTTGGAAATAGGTGGACAAACTAGAGAGATCCTACAAAAGTATAAGCATTAGGATGATAAACATTAGGCAAACTATAAGCATCATTTCATTGAACATCATAGATATAGACTTACCAAGACAAACAAGAAATATTTAAAGACAAACCTGAAGCCTTGTCTTGAAGACCAAAGTGGATTTGTAGAAATAGGCATTCCGAAAATAAAGATAACAAAAAGTGCAGAGAATCATCATTTGCAAAAGAGAACAGGCCATGTATATAGCAATGCAAAATGAACTTTACAAGCACAAAAGAGATATTTACACACCGTGGTAGGCAATGTAGTGCCAAAGAGCTCGGACACCAATTCAAGGGGTCGACACCGATTCAAAGGGTCAACAGGTCGACATCTCCCCAAACCAGAGGCCCAACCTCATCATTCCCAAGCTGTTCTCCTTGCAAGTATACAAGATTTGGCTTATATGATTCAAGGAGTTTAGAGAACTCCTCTTTGCTTGGGTTGGTCAGAGTTTGAACCTGCATTATAAGCAGTAACTTAATGCAATATCCCAAACAAACTGATGTGAATACAAAATTTTCATTAACCTTCTAATCAAAGAACAACTATATATCACAATATTATATATAAATATATATATATATATATATATTCAAATGCAATAAAAAGAATCATAAGAAACTGAAATTTTCACCTCCAAATGGCCTGAAGAGACCAACTCCGGAGAGGGATAGAGCGGCTGATTCTCCGGCACATCCTTTTTACGTTTGGATTCAGAGACTTTCCCACGAGTGACTACAAGAAGACTACAAGTTTGTTTTGAAGAACCCTGAGAATGAAACATTTAATTTTTTTTCCTTTTTCCCAATGGCCAGATAGCAAAAAACTTCCTTTAGTTGTGGGAAGCCCTCAACGTCCACAGAGAAGAACTATAATTGGAAAAACCATGACACCCAACTAGATTACAGCATCAATTTCCCCAACAAAGAATCCTTGCAAAATCACAAATTTTCACTGCGCAGACGAAGAAATCAGATCAAAATAGTGCTTACAACGACTTCACAAGACAGAACCCAGAAATCTTTCGCACAAATGCCCTCCAAACCAAGGTCAAATCTCATGACGAAGAACTCAAAAAAAAGAGCAAAAAATCAACTAATTTTCGCCGACTGATCGAAATCAAAGTGGTAAGCCCTCAAAACTGGACGAAATCGACGAATCGAGCGAGAAAAGAAGAAAAATTTCATCAAGGGGAAATTGGAAAAAAAAAACCCCCAACAAAAACGTCCAAAAATTTGGATAGATTGAGGGCAGAGTGAACTCTGAGATAGAAGATCTCTCCGTCCAGCCACATCACAAGAGAACCTTAAGATTTCACAAATCCGTGAAGAAATGTAACAGGAATCACGTTTGAGGAATCGGGAGAAAAAGAAGAAACAAGCCAACTGAATTCTCTAAGTACCTCCACTATGACTTGCTCTGCCTCAATCAAGAACTCCAAATTCATATACGAATTTGACAGCAAAACCGGCTGCAACAAAAACAAAAACAGAAAATGAAAATTTTTGCTTCCTATCTCAACTCTCAGTCACAGCGAAGATCACTGAATAGGAAACCCTAGAAGATAGAGAGAAGGGAAAAAGAAAAAGAAAGAAAAACCTTAATCTTGATCCATTCGAGGGCGTCCCAGCTACCGGTGCCCTCCATTCTCTCGGAGAATGAGTCTCTTAGAGGCATTGATCGGTCGGAGCGTGACATCGACGCGGCTCTTTTCTTAGCTGGAGAAGTTACTTTTCTTCGAATGACTGGGAAAACAAGTGGCAATACGTAGGCTCCTCAGCAAGGTAGCAGAGCAAACAAGAGAAGAGTCAAATAGAGCAAAGCGGGAATTTGAAATTTTGGGG